TCTTTTTCATCAGTTCATTATTTTTCTCACTTCACTTCACTGCAGCCTCTCATCCTCTGTCTTTCTGCGTGTCTGAGCGTGTCTGGCTGGTTCATCCTCCTGTGTTCCCCCCTAAGATTGATGACTACCTGCACCGAGGAGAGAGGAGCTGTTTAAAGATGCATGGGGTGACGGGGCCAACTTCTCCGCTCCGTCTCTCCGTCTCTGGCGCTCCCAACAGCTCCTCTGACGGCACCGCCACCTCAGAGACTGTTTTCAGCAGATTCCAGATACAGACCTTAAAGTGGCTATGACAGGTTCTGAGGACAAATTTTTACTTGATTTGGTGGGATAATACCTGTTAAACTATAAATTATAGTTTTAAACCAATCAAGAACAAGCTGAAAAATATGTTGAAAATTACAGGAAGTAGAGAGTTCTATTTCAGAGCATCACATTCCAATGACACATGGCACAATTTAGACACAATAAACAACACTTTGCTGATACTTTTAACATTATTTCAACAAAATAAAGGTGCTTTCTTATATTTTTATTTGTTAATTCATAATCTCCGTGTATATTACAGCAGTTTTGGCCCACTGGTCAAGATGGTTGCTAGGTAACAATTATGGAATTCTTTACGCAATATCATGATTTACAACTAGGAAGTACAATTTGAAACCTAAAAAATTGCCAACTTGGGAAAATTGGTTTCAACTGTGTTTTAGTAAAATGAATAGTCCAACCTGTCATAGACACTTCAAGCCCACACAGCTCATGTTGGAAAGAGTAGGGGAGGAGGCGTTGGAGAGGGAAGGAAGGAGGGAGGAGGCATTGGGGGGAGGGAGCGGGGAGGAATTTTGAGCAGAGAGAAGACGGCGTGAAAAATGATGCCAGAGATGACCCCCGACTCCTCGACAGTCCACAAAAGGTTGCCAGTCATCAGAATGATTCACTGAAACCGGGAGAGGGGAAGATTGCTACGCCTGAGCTCCAGTCGGTAGTTTGCAAAACGATTTGCTGTAGAGATTTTGGGTTTCTCACAATGTCTTGATCCAGGCTGAGCACACAGAAGATGGAAACTGAATCTAGCCCAATTCTACTCCAAACTGACAGCAACCAAAACATATAATACTGTATATCACTCAGACGTTAAATAACAGGGTTAAGACTCAAGTGCACAAGAGCAATATCAAAACGGTATTGATACTTTGCAGTGACATCATGCTGGGGGTGTCTGTATGTATGTGTATTGGAGGAATGTTCACTAGTTACCATGGAGACACAATGCAAATACATTTTTCCATCTTGTCAAGTAATAATACAAAATAGATTTAAACAAGACATTTTCAGGAGCCTGTGATCAGTGCGATGGTCCTGTTTAGGAGTTCAGCTGTTGTAGTTCCAAGTCAATTCTTTCTGGTCAGATTGTGTTAAAATAAAGCTCAGATTAAAGTCTAGCAAAGTCTCAGAAACAGCAGTGCCTATGGTTAGCATCACACCCCCAGGGAGCGTTGATGACAAACACAGTATCAACAAGCGCAATCAGAGATACCAACCTGGTCCCCCATGAGGCATCGGTGGGGGCAGTTCATCACCACAGAAGCCAGCTTATGAGAAGCCCAGCCCATACCCCGGTTATGTGTGTGCCAACTTGTGTGATGATTGGGTGAATATTTTCAGAAATTGCCCAAAATTGCCTATCCTTTATAATGGCGTGACCTTTCAATTGACCCGTGAGACCTTAAATGACCTCGGATCGTCACCAGACATTTTTGCGGCATCGGGCACGGGGGCTTGACCCATGTACCAAATTTGGTGACAATCGGTCCATAAATGGCGGAATTATCGCGAGTGGACAGACACAAACACACACAGGGTGAATACAAAACCTGGTCAACCCTTCGAGGACCAGGTAATAACAACAAATACACCATCCTCATAGATCTCTGCCTTAAATGAGACGCAATGTAAAGGTTTGGAAGGAGAATCTGCCACTTGCTTGTCTCCATAGAGGTGTTACAAGATTACCTAGAAAGTTCCACAGTATGGCATTCAACCATTCAACCTATCTCTAAAGAGACACCAGGTCAATCAAGTTTAGATCTGTGGAGAGAGAGTCCGCTCAAGTAAAGATGTTTTTCAAGGTTTGGCAATAAAAACACATGTAACTGAATAAATGCAAAACAGATACGTTTAATGCCAGGCCACGCGATAGCATCTCCATGGAGCCAAGCGGGTGGTGTACCCTCCACCAGGATACTTACAGCCCTATTCAGCAAAACTTTAATCAAATTATTTGCTGCAGAGCGATATCAAATTGGCAAATCCCTGAGCCTATTACTGAATCCAATCGATACTTTTCAATCACTAGGAAACAAAACAGACTAATTGCTGTAGTTATATTATTCTTCCATTAATTTAAAATGCTAATTTCTATCAATGATGGTGTTATGGTCTAGTAGCTCTGGTTTCTCACATTACTGAAAACCAATACACCAATACTCAAAACCTAAAACAGACCAACTTTATTTTCACAAAATTGAATCAAAACAACTGGAGCTCCTTCTGGGCTTTGTGTTGTGAATGTGGCTATGGCTGTAGTTACTCCTGGATGTCTCAAGAACAGCTTCAGTTAAGCCAACTATAAAGGAACAAACTGCCTGCTTCAATCCTCCTGAAATACAAAGTTAAAAGAAGAATTATCTCCGTAGTCACATATGGCCCATGTCTTATACCTACAGATCTTCCATATGTAAGAATAAAGTAATCAGATCAGTGCTTTTAATATTTTACTTGAAGTAGACCCGGGCCTGACCCCACACCATCACTGCTCATTACAGAGAGCCTCAACGTCTGTCGTATTAAGCACTTCTTCAATACAAATTATATTTGCTCAAATCTATGCATCAATAACATGACCGCAGACTCATCATTTGATTCAATAATGATCTTTACATTGTGAGGTAAAATACATTAGCAAGGTAAGTCAAAGGTCCAAACCTCTGTAATTATAACAAACTCAATCACTTAGGTCCTAAGAATATAAGAGGGGAAAGTATGCGACCCTGTGAAATGACCCTTGATTACTAAATGAGCGTTTGACCCGCGCTCACTAATAGACTGTCCGCAATGAAGCGAGAGAAGAGAAGGAAAGAGAGAGAAGCACAGAGCAAATCTTCATACAGAGGATAGGAAGAATGCTCGTCATGTTGTCTCTAAATGACGTAATATAATTACAGCAAGGTTAGAGCTAAGGTGAAAAGTTAATTAATTAAATGAATTGATTAATTATTGGATTTATATAGTGCCTTTCATGACACACAAAGCACTTTACAGTGCATTATTCATCCAGACCACACTCGGTGGTGTTATGTTACTATTGTGACCACATCTGCCCTGGGGCAGACTGACGGAAGAGAGGCTCCTCCTTGGCTCCTCCCACCACCCCCACTCACGTACACTCCATATTCATACTAGGCAATGTGGGTGAAGTGTCTTGCCTAAGGACACAACACTAGTATTGCCCCTGGCGCCCCTCTGTGGCACTTGGTATCCCCAGCAGTCTCCCATCCAAGTAATAAAGAGGACAGTTTAGCATAACAACAACATTTGGAGACAACATTGGATGAAATGAGAGAGTCATCCAGCTCTGGGTACCCAATACCCTAACTAGTTCTAATTTGCACAAGGTTGTAAGGTTATTGGTATTTGATTGCAAGGAAGAACTGGACAGTGTGGGTTCTAACAGCTCACACATGAAATTCAGTCAGGTAAAGGACCAGAGGAGCAGTAATGCTGCATTTGAAAATGATGTATTGAGTGGGCACATACTGAAGTGCAATAGGGCTTTCACAGCACAAGTACCACAAGAGAAAGAAACTATAAATAATAAATGAACCTTTAATCATAAATTGTCAACATATCAGAATAAATGTTGGTTTCACTGAATCACTGCTCTTGTGTATAATTAGGGTTCATTTCTTCTTATACAGAAAGACATTTTAAAGGGCCGATATTACTGATGTTAAGTTGTTTGCTTATCAGAAACTTACCCAGAGTTGTGTTTTGTTTAACACACAAACACTGCATATTTAGGCTTAGTTCTTCTGTCAAACTTAAAGCACTCTGTTCCACCTTGTCATGTGTTCCACTGTGTTTTTAAACTCCACACATCTTTACTAGGATCATTTGGATCATTTCAGACCTGGAATTGCCGAAGGTAAAAGGAGCAGTTAACTTGAAAACTACTGCTTCATGACATAAAAGGTGGAACAGAGCATTTTGAGCTTTGGAGATGCAGACAGACTAATAATGCATGATTACTCAGACATGAGTGAATGAAACAAAGCACAAGTCCGGATGTGTTTTTGAGGAGGTAACAACATTATAACATGGCTTAATCTTACATGAGTCAGTTTTGTGTAATATAGGACCTTCGTCATATAGTTTATTCTGTAATAGGTTTATAACTGAATAAATCCGTACTGTTTATAAAAGAGTAGATGTGGCTTTTCAAACTGCAATGAGAAGCAGACATGGACATCTTGTTGCTATCTCTCACAAACCCTTTTGTGCATCACATGGACAAATGAATAGCTTTAGAACTGCTTTTTTTTAGACCGTGTAGAGAATCTGGGAAAGAGTAACAAAAAAATACTGATTGACAACAAAAATAAAGTCTGGTATATTTCTTAAAAGGTGGAGTAACAAAACCAAATGATATGGCAACGCATCTGTAAAGGACCAGACCGTCACATCACACTCACAGACTCACGCTCTGTCCAACCATGAAAGTGCTCGCCAAGAAATAGCGAGACGAAAATTTCCTCCAGAGAGAAAAACAAAAGATAAGAGAGCCTTAAAAACAAAAGGCAAGTGACCAGAAAGCAAAACCTGTGGAGGAAAACAGGTTTTGACGGACACACGGATAGACTTTGCACTGCATTGACAAGTAGAGATCAGACAGAGCAGCTGATGAGTACTCAATATACTATAGCCCCAGGAAGCACAGGTACCTTCTTTGTCCGCTCGAAAAATGAAGGTCCGGAGGGCAGTGACCACTTCAAACTTGTTCTCTCCCAGGCCCCGCACCTGCCGGATCGTGCTGGTCAGAATCATGCCTTTGGAGTACATCTCCTACGCAAAGAAAAATAGAAGAACAAGAAGTCAGCAATGGTGGAAGAAGTTCTCAACTGTGTTATGTAAAGAGCGAACATTATGCCATTTTCTGAGCTGTTATAATGTTGTTTCCTCATCACAAACATGCCTGGAGTTGTGTTTTCTTTCATTCACACATGTGCTCAATCTGAAAACACTCTGGAGCACTTCCTGCATTACAATATCACAAGGTGGAACACAGTGTCTTTACAATCCATACACCTTTCATTTGGATAATTCAAGCCTTGGAATCATTAAATCTCTACTGAAAAAAAGGTAAAAAGAGGTAGCTGTTAACTTGAAAACTACAGCTTTGAGACATCATAAGGTGGAACAGAGTGTTTTGAGCTTTGGAGATGTAGGCAGACTAATAATGAAGCGTCACTCACACATGTGTCAATGAAGCAAAACACAACTCCGGGTATGTTTTTGATGAGGAAACAACATTGCAACATGTCTTTGAGATCACAAGAATGCATTTAGTATAATATAGGACATTTAAGTAAAAGTACAAATACCAGAGCAAGAAAATATTCAAGTAAGAGTGTCACATGAAAAAAATCTACTTAAGTAAAAGTATTAAAGAACTAGTTTATAAATGTAAAACTAGTAAAACTTAAAATGTACTGATTTTAATAAAGAATTGTGCTGAATTTTGTACAACAGAAACAACTGAAGTGGTTGTTTTTTTCATAGCTGGCCTGGTTTTATCTGTATTTTTGTTTGTTCAAATTGTGTTAAAAATAAATCTTCAGTCTTTTAAGCAGTCCTAAAACAATAATATTAATAAAAAATTTAAAATAAACTTTCACTTTTCAGTCCTGTTAAAAAATATAGTGGAGTAGAAAGTACAACTACCTGTTCTCAAATGTAATGAAGCAAAAGTAAAAAGTATCCACTGTGTAACTTTTCTGGTGGAGGGTTTGTCAAATGCTTTTCTCCATGGAGATGTTATTGCTTTGTCTGGAATATTTCACAGCAAGTCACAGGTCAGATCTGTTTTTCTAGGTGTTTTTGAGCTATTAAATCACCTGTAATTGAATAAATGTGGAGCTGATTAATGTCATACTGTGGAACATTCCAGGCAGAACAGTCATATCCATAGAACCTGAAGTCATTTCTATTCTAGCATCTTGTAAGAATAATATTAAACAGCTATTTACCCACAAAACAAATCTGTAGTATCGCAATTTCAATTTAACACTACGTTGTAATACCAGGGGTTGTGAGCGCATTCAATTTGGCAGCAGACATCCTCATCAGGCCTGCACAACCCATCAATACAGCATTAAATACATTCACAGTAATGGGCTCCTCCATTTAATTTATATTATGGTGCTCTGGGACAAGTAGCATTTGAAGGGACTATTTATCTACATCTCCTTATATAACCCCGACCCTGATTTTATTTTATCTGTGCATTCCAGAATGATGAAAAATTAGGACTAAAGCTATAAAAGGGCCCATATTACACAGTTTTCTGATCTATCTTATAATATTTCTTCATCAAAAACAAACCAGGAGTTGTGTTTTGTTTCAATAGAATAGATACAAACCCAGGTATGTTTGTGATGAGGTAATAATATTATAACATGACTTAAAGCCCACAAGAGTCAACTTTGTGCGATATAGGACCTTTAACAATTTAAAAAGTAAATGACAAAATGATTCATAAAAACAGGAAGCTGAAACCCAAGAATAGCATTTTTGATCTGTTTCTGATCTGTTATAATGTTTCTTCATCAAAAACAAACCAGGAGTTGTGTTTTGTTTCATTCACACGTTTAACTCAAAGCCTGCATACTTAGGCAGTGTCCTTCTCTCAATCATAAAACACTCTGTTACACCTTGTGATGTCATGTGGTAATACAGGAAGTGCTTCAGTTTGTTTTTAAACTCCATACACCTTCACTAGAATCATATGGATAATTTCTGACCTGGAATTGCCAATCTCTTCTAAACAAAAAGTAAAAAGATAGCAGTTAAACTTGAAAACTGGCACTTCATGACATCACAAAGTGGAATTTTGACCTTTGGAGATGTAGACAGACTAATGAGGTTACTCAAACATGTGTAAATGAAAAAACAAAACTCCAGGTATGTTTTTGAAAAGGTAACATTATAACATGGCTTAAAGCTACAAGAGTCAATTCTGGGTAATACTGTATAGGACCTTGAATACAAACATAACACAGCGACTATAAAAAATATTTGAAAACTGCACAGATGCACGCTTCACAAACAGTGCTGTCACGAGGCCGCTAAAACAAATGTTAAAGCTAAAAACACACTCTTCTGATATTATTAAAGGCACAGTTCGCCATGAGAGTTGCCCACAGAACAGGAAGTGCTTGTTTTAGTACACGGGGAATTGGTTGTGTGTGTTGTTTTATTACCCACAATGCAGTGCGAGAGGAGGCTTCCAAATAAGGCGCGTGTCGCATCGAGACTGTGTGACCCTCTTACCGTCTCCCCTGGCAACGGCAATTAAAAGTACTGGGTCATTTGCAAAAGAGAAATAAAGGGCACAATAAGCGAACCTATACTTATGTTAAAGGGCATATAATATGCTGTTTTCTGATCTATGTTATAATGTCATTTCCTCATCATAAAGCAGATCTGGATGTGCGCTTTGTTTCATTTATACGTTTCACACACACACCCTGCACATTTAGGTGGTGTCCACAAGACAACGTTTTTTTGGTCGAAACAGTGAGGTTTTTATTCCTTTGGCCTTTCGTCCACACGGAGCCAGTGTTTCGGTTGGGTGAAAACTGTGTTTTTTAAAAACGGATCCAGAGTGGAGAAATTTGAGAACGCCGGTGTTGTGTTGTCGTGTGGACAAGCAAACCACAGCTTTTAGAAAACGATGACAGCGTTGTGACGTCATCGCCTCCTGACCAGAAGAGAACCCCATGCAGGAAGGACTTTATGCACATGTGCTTTTTGTAGTACTGTGTGTCCAGTGGCTCTGGCTGTATCGTGTTTACAGCACCACACACAGGTGTGGCATATGTATAACATCTTTTTCACTCAATGCTCTGTTGTCGTGTGGACGTGAATATTTACTGATCCGACACGTGTGTGGACGTAAATTTTTTTCAACCCGCAAAAAAATTAATTAATTAATTAAAAAATCCAGGAGCACTGTTGTGTGGACGTAGCCTTAGACTGAGTTTAGGCTCTGTTCCACCTTGTGATGTGGTAATATAGGAAATGCTCCACTGAAGTTTTTAAACTTTATACACCTTCACTAGAATAATTTGGATCATTTTAGAAATTTATTTCGTTACTAAACAAAAGGTTTTAAAACTAATTATTCATGACATCACAAGGTGGAACAGAGCATTTTGAGCTTTGGAGATAAACTAATAATGCAGATTACTCAAACATCCGTGAATGAAACAAAACACAACTCCAGGTCTGTTTTTGATGAGGAAACAACATTATAACATGACTTAAAGCTTACAAGAGTCAGTTTTGTGTAATATAGAACCTTTAAAATTACTGTAGGATTATATGGATTTGCACTTGGTTTAGAGTATAGCCTTTTATTTTATTTATATTAGTACTTTATATTGCACTAGCTGTATTATCTTTCTCAATTTAATTTGGCAATGTAGTCAAAATGAATGGGACAATAGCACAGACACTGGTTATGTGTAGAAACTGCAATATAAACAAAGAAAAGTAAAACAAAGTGAAAGCAGATATAGATTTCCAGTGAGCCAAACAAGACAGAGGATTGCTGGATTACAATAGTCAAGAGAATTTCAAAACATTTCCAAACTTTCTGCATTTCTGAAGTGGCTTTTTACATCCTAGTTGTTATTCTGAGCTGGTAGACATATTTGGACCCTCAAGTACTGTTGCTTTTATCAACAATAAAATAAGTATTCAAAACCAAACCAAATGTAAAAATACGAGAGAGTGTAGCTCAGTGACTTTCAAATATGGCTTGATAATGTGGGGATGTATTGTGGTGTGGGGACTAGAGTGAAAAGCAGCGCGTTATACTCAGAGTCACTGGGCTGTTCAGAAAGCGTACATTATTCATGAAAATAATGTCATTATCATCGCAAAGTGTAAAAAACAGACTTTTCTCTGTGTGGCTCTGCGTCGAACTTGACCTGAATTTTAATTGTGACTTGTTACAGGCACAATACCACAGAGCACTGTACAGTACCAACGCCTCCATGTCTAACAGAGGAGAGGAAAATACGGAATAAAAAAGATGAACTTCTGACTCTCTATTGCCGTTTATAATTAAGCCACTGACCTTGGCACACACAAAAGATGCTTTCTAGAGACGTTAGGGCCAAAAATACCAGCCAGTTAGCTAGTGAGGGCAATTGTGTAATGGAAAAAAAGAAAAAAAAAAGTAGGATTGTGTCAAACAGCAATAGCAGTTAACTTGTAAACTGACAATACATGGCATCACAAGGTGGAACAGAGCATTTTGAGCTTTGGAATTGACAGACTAATAATAAAATGTTAGTTAAACATGTGTGAATGAAACAAAACACAACTCCATGTATGTTTTTGAGGAGGTAACAACATTTTAACATGGCTTTAAGCTCACAAGAAAACATTTTTTAAATAAAAGAGCAAAAATTATTCAAGAAAGTAAAAGTAAAAGTACCAATTTAAAAAAAAAAAATGAAATTCATGCAGATTTTTAGCTCTTATAAAACTTAAAGTGTAGTGCTTTTAATAAAGATGTATACTGAATTTTGTTTTGAATTGAAACAAGTAATAAAAGTAGTGAATCTCCATGTCTAACAGAGAAGGAGGAAAGAGGAAAAGTATGAAATAAAAAACATGAACTTCTGACTCTCTATTGCCGTTCATAATTAAGCTACTGACCTTGGCGCACACAAAAGCTGCTTTCTAGAGACTGTAGGGCCAAAAATACCAGTCAGTTAGCTAGTGAGGGCGATTGTGTAATGGAAAAAAGAAAAATTAGGCTTGTGTGAAAG